GAAACAATCACTCTAGTTCTGGAGCCTAAAAATTCTACCATTTCTTCAGGTTATTTCCTGCTGAGCAGGGTGAATTATATTAAATACAAATTAGGTCCTGTTAAAAAAAAGAAGACGACATTTTCTTCATGCAGGGCAAGTGAGATTACCAGGATCCAGGGCAGAATAGACTGGAATTACTTTGGGTTTCATAAAATTTCTTCTTATTGAAAATGGTTTAGAACATCAACTTCTGTAGACTGGCACAGGCCAACTGACTACAACGGAGCTGTGCCAATTTAAACTAACTGTGGATCTAGTAATAATATCCTCAGTCTTCTGCCTTGCTGGGCACCAGAAGTCAGTGTGCTTATCTCACAGACACCATAACATGCCTTTCCTTACATGCTGTATATATTCAGACCACAGGAATGGGAAATAACTTTATCAGCTCTTTAGAGTGATACTGTCATCACTGAATACATTTACATTAAATGTCTTTGAGTCACTTACACACAACACAACAATCTGACAGTTCAATCTGGATCTCAGCTATTTTATCTGCAAAATAGCAACAAAATTCCTCACAGCAAAATAAATAAATAAATAAATAAATAAAATAAAAAAAACCCTCAGGACATAATCTGGAATTCCCCTCACCCTCCCATTGCTCACGCTAAATTAATTTACACATTTAATCTTCGTGGCAGAGGAGTTTTTGGTATGTAGACCAATTCTCTGTAAGGGTGAGGTGGGACTCATCAGGGGTGGTATAGAAGGAGCATGGTTTGATTTTAGGGCTGCTGAATTAATTGTTGGGTCAGAGAGAGTCATTGTGAATAGCCTTATTTGTGTCTTATCTCTTGTTTATAAGTTTCCCCTACTGGGAAATGGCAGCCTCTTTACTTGGTGATGATATTGTCAGGATAGGGGTGGGGGATAATTTGTGAGGGCTCATGATGTTAGGAGAGAGCCTGGGATGGTAGCGTTGGTTTTATGGGAGTGTGTGTATCGGGTGTATGCAGGGAGAGTATCGCTGATTCTATGGGTGAGCATTTTGGTTTAAATGGCACTGATAGCCTGCAATAGAGAGTGGGCCAAATTCATCAATGTAGTTACACCATGTATGGATTTGGCACCAGTGCTTAACGTTATTTTATGTTACAAATAATAATAAAATTGTCAAGATTTTACATGCACTCATGCATCACTTGAAACACAGGCCACAATTCTGACACTCAGTCCAGTAGCATTTTCAATTGAATTCCAGCCTACAGCAGTTTCCTAGGTAACCAATATACAGCCACAGAAACTAACTGCATAGAGCACACAGAAAGCAGGGGAGAGGACAGAGGGAGGAGAGAATGGGGTGTGATGGGGAAAGATGGTGCCTTCAGACAGTAATATGCTTTTCTTATTTTTGGTATACAGTGCCTCTCTCTATGATGGTGAACTCATTATAAATAAATGGATAGACATATTTGCATACATATGTCTCAAAAGTATCTGAAACTATTATATCTTTAAGAAGCCAATTTTAAGCATTTTAGAGTAATGTTTGTTCAGCATTTTTACAAAGCAACGGGTTCAAAGACTGACCAGTTACTGGTACAGTTATAATAGATGTGTAATTCTTATGAGTATCTCAGGACATATGTTTAAATCCCATTTCTCTTGTCAAAAGCAGAGATCTGAATGCAGATCAAGTATCAGCCTCCTTCAAAGTTCAGCACATCTTTGATTTCAGCATGGTAATAAACATGATCATAACACTAAAACAGCCCAGAAGGGAAAGAACCTGCTAACCCCCATCAAAATAAACAAAACAAAAAACTCCCCCCAAGACTACGGCATGAAAAGAGGGATGAATGGGTTTCTGAGCACCTGGGAGTCAAGAGCTAAACAACAACGACCAAAAGAGGAGCAAAACAATTTATGTCACATTGTCAAGAACTAAATTCAAAGTAAACAGAAGAACAGAAGAACAGCCATACTGGGTCAGACCAAAGGTCCATCTAGCCTAGTATCTTGTCTTCCGACAGTGACCAATGCAAGATGCCTCAGAGGGAATGAACAGAAGAGGTAATCATCAAGTGATCTATTCCCTGTCGCCCATTCCCAGCTTCTGGCAAACAGAGGCCACGGACATTATCCCTCTCCATTTTGGATAATAGCCATTGATGAATCTATCCTCCATGAACTTATCTAATTATTTTTTGAACCCTGTTATAGTCTTGGCCTTCACAACATCCTCTGGCAAGGAGTTCCACAGATTGACTTTGTGTTTTGTGAAAAAATACTTATTTTTGTTTGTTTTAAACAAAAGGGGATTCATCATAGGGGTAGGTGAGGTGTAGCCTGCAGTTGGGGAAATCAAGTCAGGAAACTTGTCACAGGGAGGGAGACAAGGTTTTATAGCTGGGCGGGTGGGGGGAGAAAAGTTGAAGCAGTTGGTAGTGGGTGGCAGGTGATGGAGGCTTTGTGCACCTGGGGATGAGAGTTAGGTAACAGGCTTGTAATATAGGAGTCAGCTCAGGGTACTTTTTACTGAAAATTTGCTACCGGATCCTTCAAGCTCTTACACTTACTTCTGACCTTTCAAAGGTCAACCACTACAACCTCAGGGTCTTTTTCCTTGCAGAACCCTCCATTAACAGCTCCTCTACCATAAAATTGCAGGTTTCGTTGCATCTGTGTTGGGCCCCACATCTCTACTGAAAAGTTGGGTAAGCTGGTATGCATTGTTATCTGGGAATTCTATAAAACCTTAGAGACACCAGATTACATGAGCTGATAAGAGCCAATCCTTCCATTATATGCTCGAGTGCTTAGCAGTTAATAAATGCAGATGCCCCAATGGGGCACAGTTCAGGTAGGCCCCAAATTTAAGGTAGGAACAAAGTGCCTTAGATTGCAGATGAAACAACCATGTCCCTGTAACGGGTACTTCCATGGAGATTCCAGAAGTTGTAATTCTGATGGTAATATTATACACTGAAGGAAAGGGATAATGCCTAAAAAAATGAAAGCGAAAGGTGTCCTCGTTACAGAAACTAGGTAGATGGTTATCCTTTATCATGGCATTCCCTCTCCCCCATACAGTAACAGCACGGAACGTACCTTTGGTGAAGAAAAACTTCAGAGCTCCCCACAACTTAAAATGCAGAACAATGTTGTTGGTGCAAAAAATATTTACTCAGATCAATAGGGGTCAGTGGGATTTCTGCATGGGGTTTATCCCGATTCAAAAAGGTTTGGTCAAGGCTTACAGATGATATTCAGAATTAAAAGCTCTCTTGATTTGTAAGCAGTAGCAGATCATACAGGTCATTAAAGTATCAGACCCAGGAGCCTTCCAAACCATTTTTTTTTAAATTTTGTTTCTTTCAAGTGGCAGTCTAGTTGGGGACTGTGAAGCCCAGGAGCCAAGGGAGGCTGGCAGACTTGTCAAGCTTTCCTGACAGCTGGTCAAAAGCAAATGGGCTCAGTAAATACTTGCCTCATTGTGTCTGAGCAGTAAAAGCACCACAGTGGCAAATGGTTTGCTAGGCAATTTTTAGCTGACAAGTGAGGACTCAAATGGCACATAGGTTTAAAAACATGATTACAATTAAAAAAAAAAAGAGAGAGAAATTACCTGAAAAGTTATATGTGGATTACTGGAAATACCACTTGGGTGTATACCCAGCCAAAATAGATGGTTGTTGATCATAGTGATTAGTGACAATACACTAAAGTTGTATGACACACTTCATAGACTATTGGGCACACAATGCATTGCCTGCGATCAAATCCAGTATCAATCAATTGATATAATAGACAACTAACTAATTATCTTTCCAATGCTTGATTTGTGAGAATTGCAACACAGAAACACACAGGTATAAACACCCAGTCAACCAGATCATTTTGGCACCACTCGTTACATATCTACATAGGATATAACAAGAGATCTTTATACAATTTTAGTTGAAAATGATTGCTTTGAATTTTCTAACCTTCTTTTTATCATCCCCTTTTAAAGCGATGTTGTAATAAAGTAATTGCTATAGTCTTCATAGTTTATAAAATCCATTTAGAAACCTGATTTTTTTGGAACATTACCACTTTCTTTGCCACTGAGAAAACACTGAGTTATTATTGAAACTTCCCTGTTAACGTGTCTGAACAGCAGCATCGATGATGCTGATTCCCATCAGGGACAAGGATTTGATAGATATCACACACTGTCAGAAGAGAACAAATCACACGGGCTATTGTAGTGTGTTCTTTTTCATTTCCCTGTTAAAGACTGTTGAATATTTCTTTATAAAAGCAATATATTTAGAATATAGGGGATTTTATGTACCATGTTTTAAGCTAATTCATACACTAACTTGATAACATCCTTTCATTTCTCCCCACATTATTTAAAGTCTTAGAACCACATAATGCAGAGTCAAATTTAGCTCTCGAATAGGTGGGTTCAAATCTCATTGACTTCAATGGGACCTACGCTTCAGGTCTAAATTTGGTGCACAGGATATAAGTTCTCTTGCACTGAGGGTGAAATTCATTATTGTGAATGAAATAATAATGCAATGGAAAGAGGCTCAGCATGTGATCCACGCTCTTTCTACATGGTTACCCTCCCTGCTGACTGAAAACTTGCAGAAGACCAAACATGCAGATCATAAACAGATGGGCTTCTATGGGCTCCATGTAATCTAGGTTTATCTGCTCCACTTTGGCACACACTGGCATTTGCATTAGTTTCTTCTCCATGCATGCATGTAGATGATAAAACTTTGTCCTTTTTCTGGGTTTATCACACCAAGTTCTTAGCAGATTTACCAAGGTGTCTGTATGCCCAGCAAGAGCCATTCAGGTTGGATCATTCTCTCAATCCAACACTATCGCCTGCTTCTTCCCTGGATGGAAACTTTAAGAACTCTTGAAACCCTATTCTGGAGCAAGAGACAGAGAAACTTGCAAATTGTCATTGAATATTGAAAATAGTATTATTAATATGATTGATTTACCTCCAGAATGTGGTGGTGGTCCACACAGCAGTACCATTCCCTGACCCTGTCGGACTGACACTGTACTTCTTGTTCTTGTCTTGAAGTTTTCAAGGTCTGTTAGCAAGAAAGAGTGCATGAAATGGCATTAGTATTCTCTTCTGGAAGGACTGCATATGTTAGGGTTGTTTAATTTATTTTCTGAGGGAGATACAAAATGAACATCAGTTTGGAAAAGATACTTGTAGAAGTCTGCTCCTAAGACATAGGCAGAACAGGCTGTTGCCTAGTGTAGCAAAACATCGGAGGAAGCAAAAGGTTCAATAAATATTTGGGTGATTGTGGACTGGTACTGGTGGACATTCACCTAGGGCAAAGTAAACTCAGAGATAACACTGACAATGTATTATGCTTGTGCAGTTAATGTTATAACACACAATAGAAGAAATTATTGCCATAAATTGCCATTTATCCTCATTTATTTTATAATCCAGGTCTGTTTCCCCACAGGTTATGATTCTTTCCCTTTTGGATGAGTCTTGTTATCGACGTTCCATGCAACCCACATGTGGATGCAAATCTGCAATTCGGAACATGGAAAGATTCCTCATAGTGAAACTCCCTGCTAACACTGACATTAATCCACCAATGTATGTTAGCTGCACAGTGCTTTATTGCACTAAATTCCTCACTTCATTTCTCTCCTGTCCTTTCCTGGAGGTATTAGACACTGTGAAAATGTGCCCCCTTCTCTCCCTGTCTTGCACAGTGAGCTTGAGAAAGTTACTATTAATTGTTGAAGTTACAATTTGTGACCCAACTAGCAGCACCAGGTATTGATCAGCAGTATCAGCTGCCATGGGAATTCTGTGTAAGATCTCTAGTATATGGAGTCACCCCAATAGCCTTTTTATCTTATATAGTGGCTTGCTTTTAAATTTCCATTCTGTTTTTCCTTTCAATGCAGCTGAGCCATTGTTTGCTGACCTCAAAACTGCTGTTTGGCGCAGCAGAAAAACACAGAAAATACACAGGAGATAAGTGAACAACAGGAATGTCAATTATACTGTTAGAAAGTGGAAAATATTACACTTAATTTTTATCCCCTTTAGATCTTTTTGCTACGGAAGAGTTAACACAGGTCCATCGGTAGTGCTCTTAGCTATTAAGAAGACTCCATTTTTCATTTTAACCACAGTGCTATTCAGGTATTAATCTCAGATTAGTGTCTTAGATTCTGAACCTGCAAAACACTTATGCATGCACATACCTTTACTCTCAGGAGTATGGTGACAAGATGTCCCGTTTTTAAAGGGACAATCCCGTTTTGGGGGACTTTTTCTTATATAGGCGCCTATTACCCCCCACCCCCTGGCCCGTTTTTTCACAGTTGCTATCTGGTAACCCTACTCAGGAGTAAAGCTACACAATGTGAAAACTGTTTGCAGGGTTGGAGCCAAGTTCCCTCTTACGCCTTGGGCTGAGTGTTCTGCCCGATCATGAAAAGACTTTTTTGGGACAAGGCAGGGGTTTATTATTATTTGTATTATGGTAGCACCTAGGAGCCCAGCCATGTTTCTAATTGTCAGCGTGGTTAAGCACTGGAATAAATTGCCTAGGGAGGTTGTGGAATCACCCTCATTGGAGGTTTTTAAGAGCAGGTTAGACGAAGACCTGCTAGGAATGGTCTAGATATTACATGGTCCTGCCACGAGTGCAGGGGACTGGACTAGATGACCTCTCGAGGTTCCTTCCAGTCCTACGATTCTATGGTCCAGGATGCCATTGTACTAGGTGCTGTATGAATTCAGAACAAAAAGACAGCCTAAGTAAAAACAGTCATCAGAATGCAAATAACGGGCAACAATTAATTATAAGGTTTATACGCATTTTAGCACAGTTCTGCTGTGTTCTTATGCTATACATTTTACTATTTTTTAAATCACTGAATAATATTGCACAATATTCAGAGGGTGTATGGCTTGTGAAGGGTGATTAAGGAAACTTGTGCACTGCTATGTGTTAGCATATAAGCCTGTTTGTTAGCCTGAGATAGAATATTGGGTTTGACTTTTAATACTCTTACATCCTTACTAATATGTGTGAAGAACAAAGGACAAAGATGTTGTGTGTTGCATTTCCCACAACCAGATGGGGCTTTTAGTACAATGAGACAGATAAGGGATAGAGCTGAGAGTGTTACAGGGTACGGTGGGAGTGTAATATATGAGCGCACACTTGACGACTCCCTCAACGCCTTATCTCAAAGCAAGGTCAGGCAACCAGTCAGGAGCGGTAAGGGGAGATTGGGTGGGGTGGGAGGTAAAACACTAAAAGATCAGAGAAATGCCTGCCCCTGACCAGAGCACAACCTCACTCCTTACCCCTCCTATGGGGTACAAAAGGGGTGGGATGAAGACCCCCGACTCATGACCCTCCAGAACGGAAAATGACCATAAGTTATAAGGGGTATGACTAGGGGCGTGCATTGCAGGTATATTTGGACCTGCTAAAAAGGGGGAGTGGAAAGGGGAATGGTAATGGCACAATGGGAGAATGGGGGACTGGGAATAGGGCAATGAGGAACAGGGACACAGGCAAGGCTCTGCAGCATCAGAGCTGGAAACGGAACACTGGGAAGAGAGAGCTGCATCAGTGTGTGTAGCTAGAGGTTAGACAAAGGGGTTCTATTGGTGTATAGAACTGTAGTTGTGGAGGAGAGGGGAAAACTCTGTCGGTGTAAAAAAATAAGCCTGACTGGTGTGAAGGGCTTCAGAATATGTTTGCTTGAACTAAACCCCCATAAACATCGCATTGCCTGCACTTCGGACTTCTGGTCTTCTGCTTTCTGTCTGTGTAACAAGAACCAGGGAAGGGGGTGAAGGAAAGCCCTCTAACACTGTGAATGTGTTGTGAAAATTATAACAGTCCAAAATATCAACATGTCTCAGTTTCTTTTGGAGTTAGTAGACTGAGGCAATGATAAGTAAATTGAGGCCAGTCAGAAATTGGCTAAGCGTTTTACATGATCAGACCCTTAGGGAAGATCAAAGTAATACAGAGGTCTCAAAGCTATGATCCAAATTAAATAATGTGTCCTCATAATTTGGGCCCCAATTCTGCATTGGATCAACTAGTGTGGGCCATTGCAATAGGACTCCACAGTGAGACAGAGGTTTATACTGGCAACCCTGATTCAAGATTGGGAACATATGTAGCAAAAACAATGCAGAATACAAAACCATGCATAAATAGGGAAGAAAAACAGAGTCATATTCCTTGACTGGGAAGTTACTAAATGTTGAAAATCAAGCAACAGACAGTTGTGGGTGGAGAGAATTCCCTTCCATTCACACCCCATTACTGTGATTGTAGCCTAGAGAAAAAAACAATGGTGATGTCTTTTCAAACAGGCAAAAATATACCTTTAAAATTAATAATACACAAAAGGGAAAGTGAGGCTTTCAAAGGTCCGGTCCTGCATTCCTCATCCTCCCCAAAACTCCCACTGACTAGGTATGACTGTGCAAAGAATTATGATTGAACTTCATTCTTGTTGCGGATGGTAACATAAGAACTAATAGCCTGAAACAAAAGTAGGGAGAAAATAAATTAAATATTAGGATTTTTTTAAACTGTAGAACCTGTCTGACAATGGAATAATCTGCCAAGGGATGTTGTCATACATAATAACAAAAGCACTAGTGATTTTCAAAACAGACTCAAGAGATTGTTGTACGGCAATTCTGCCCCAGGGGCTTGAACTGCAGGTTTAAACATGTGAGGTAGTCACTGATCATTGATTTCCACTAGGGCTATTCACGTGGGTATAGGCTGCAGGATCAGTTCCCCAGAGCAGGGGGACTGACTAGATCACTGGTTCTCAATCAGTCATACGCTTACCCCTGGGGGAGTACACAGAGGTCTTCTAGGGATACATCAACTCATCTAGCTATTTGCCCAGTTTTACAACAGGCTACATGGAAAGCGCTAGCAAAGTCAGTACAAACTAAAATTTCATACAGACAATGACTTGTTTATACTGAGCTATATACTATACACTGAAATGCAAGTACCATATTTATATTCCAATTGATTTATTTTATAGTTATATGGTAAAAATGAGAAAGAAACAATTTTTCAATAATAGTGAGCTGTGACCCTTTTGTATTTTTATGTCTGATTTTGTAAGCAAGTAGTTTTTAAGTGAGGTAAAACTTGGGGGGTAAACAAGACAAATCAGACTCCTAAAAGGGGTACAGTAGTCTGGAAAGGTTGAGAGCCATTGGACTAGATGACTCAGGAGATCTTTTTCAGTCAGTTCAGCTGTGATTTTATTCATCCACACAGACATCTTTGCTCAGGTATAAGACTTCACCATCACTTCTCTTCAAGTCAACAAGTAAAGGTTTAACAGTGATGTCAGATTAATGAGATTAGTGAAAAAAGCAGGAAATGCAGGTAACTGTTTTTCACATTGCATTCACAAACAAAAAGATGGGATTCTAGAGAAATTAAAGTCAGTGTTGCCAAATGTGCCTATTTTATCACAAATCATGGAGTTTTTACTCATGAAAGCTTATGCCCAAATGAATCTGTTAGTCTTTAAGGTGCCACCAGACTCCTTGTTGTTTATGCAATATACGATTACTCTCCATTTCATGAGTGACATCATTCTATGATTATCTCATTTTTATTTTATTTTAAAGTAAGTTTCTAGCCTTTGTGGTTGTGGAGAAAAGTTTGAAAACATGAAGCAAGGGCACACCGGAGGCTCAGAAACCAGAAGGCAAATAAAAAGAACCCCTTTGAAAAAAATCTCATGATTTTTTAAGCCAATATCAGTATTTTTTTTTTGCCAGGCTTCAACATTTGAGGTTACCAATACTGTACAGCCAGGGGCTAGCTCTTCAACCCTTACTCATATCGATGAGAATTGAATCATTGAAATCGTCCTATTGGCCTCAGTGGGACTATTTGCATGAGTAATGGTCACCAACATGTGTAAGGGTTGCACAATCAGGCGTTTAATAAGCAAAAACTGTGTGTATGCGCATGTGTATACATACACATGCATTTAACAAATAATAGCGACACTACCACAACCACTGTTACTA